CGCCCGGCCGAACACCTGAATTGCGCATTCCCCCCCCCCCCGAGATCCTTTGCGACTGCCCGAGACTTTTTAGATGTTCGGACGGGAGCACGTGGCGAAGACGTAGGTAGGTTTAAACTGTTTGAAAAGGTGTTTTTTGGGGTTTTTTTTTAAAGTTTTTGCATATATCTATGCTTGCTAGAAGTAGATATATGCAAAAACACGCTGAGGGTTTAATAACCCTTTAAAACGAAAAGGCACACGATCGTTTCCAGGATAATACATGCCGCAGATCAGCCGTACAGGGGGTACCAGATAGTTTACTGTATTAATTTTAGCAAACTTTGAGTGAAGACAGACACCCGAATCACTGGTTCACATCTAGTGTTCTTCCCTCCTTCCTTTCCCCCCCCCCCCCCCCCCCACAAAGCACAGTTTTTAAATGGTAAACACTAGAATCATCTTTGTAGCTAATACTATCCTGACATTTGCCTCATACAACCTTTCATCACATTAAGCCCGGATTTTCTATAAGGGTAAAACATACAATCTACAAGATATTTAGCATACATTTGAACATTAATGCTGATCTTTATTATTATATCTCTGAATTTTTGCCTTTGACAATGTCCCACACCTTGAGCTTAGGTGGACAGCACACAGAACGGTAGAAACTGGCATTGCTTCTTTCCCAAATTCAAAAGCTCCAGCTACCAAAGGCTTATTCACATTAGTTGGGGGTTTTGTTTTGAGAAGGAAAGGAGTGGGCTAGAAAGAGAGGCCACGTGATTTCTCGAAGTAAACCTTTTACTGTTAATACCTTTTAACATCTAACTGCAGTGGAAATTTTCAAGGCACAAGCCCTTTAAGGATTCACTAAAGCTTTAATACATGAATATGTATCTTTTGTATTAGTTGGGGTGCTTGTAGAATCAAATGACCCTGGTACACATAAGCCTGAATCTCAGGTGCAGTGTTCATTAACGCAACCCTGTTGGTAAGGTAAGGAAAATTGAGATGGAGTCACCATGTTTCACCAAGATCAATAGTACCTACCTATTCAGCCACATTGTGTTAAACCTCAATTCTCTTGAAAAGCTTCATGCTATTCTGCTATCTGATACTTCTTGGTGTTTCGTATAGTGTTCCCCACTGGGAGCTGTGGTTTCTCCTGCTGGCCCTTATGTCATTGCAGAACTTAATCACAGAGCTCTTCAAGAGAGCAAAAATTTAGCACACTGTCCATCACAGAGATATTAATCCTTTCTTTACCTGGTGGCTCTCTTGTTTTCTTTGTTAACCTGAGGATCGATTTTACTTTGGATCAAGACTTGGCTAGAATAGAGTTTTATGCCTGCTGTATTCAAAATAAAGATGTTTAGCTGCTAATAGGAAAGTTAAGCCATACTAACATTATTATAATCTTAAGAAAGATGTTCTTTTGTGAATTTTAAAATAACCGACAACATGGATGCTAGGGAACGTAGAGACTGTGTGCCATTAAACCAATTGCTATACATTTCTTTATTTACAGTTTAGCAAAGCTGGAGGAGGAATTTGAGAAGAAGTTTAATAGCCTTCCTCAGTACAGCCCTGTAACATTCGATCGCAAAAATGCTTTCCAGAGGAAAAAGAAAAAAACCAACAGTGGACAAACTGAGCAACAGAAAGGTAATAAATGCACTGTCATCAATAGAATGTTATGTCGCCGTTCAAGCTATTTAAAAAAAATGTAAGTGTGAACTTGCCAGGCGGCCTTAAACATGCACACCCAAATGTCTTTTTGAGTTTAATTTAAATATAGTGTATATCTATTCTGTAAAATGAAACATGTTGGCATTCACGTGCAACCATTGCAATAATATGAACACAGTCCATTTCTACTGTGAAGTAGGATACTTATTAGCTTAATGCTTGGAGGGAATATAATCTCAACCATATGTAAAGTCCCCAAGCCTCCTGCTGTCCAATTCTGGTATGTATTAGGTATCAACAATAATAGGAACATTGATATGTTGACTTGGAATGGCTGCAAACCCCATCTGCAGCAACCCTTTGTGTTGCACTCAATGAAGATGAATCTTTGTAATACTTTGATACTCCAGTATGAAGGTGACTGGTTTTAATTACACATGGCTTTTTCAACAAAATAGTATCAATGAAAGTCTGAAAGAATTGTCATTAGTATCTCGGTACAATCAAATTCTGACACTTCACACAGTAGTGCTAGTGAGCAACCCTCTAAAGCTTACCAGTTTGTTTTATTTACACGTCATTTACTATCCAATTTACATTTGATCAGTATCCCATGCTGATGCCTACAATGTGTGTGTGTGTATTTATCTTACACGGTGCATAATCTTTTCTGCTCGCTACAGTGCTTTAATATTAAAAGTATCTTGACACATACATCCGTATGTAGTTTGTATGGCAATGCAGTCTGACCTTATATGATCACATGTAGCATGAGGTATCTGAGCACTGCAGACACTCCAGCATGATGCCCCTAGACTCTTGGTTCTGAACTGGTGGGTTGTGACCCAAAAGTGGGTCGCGACCCCGTATTCAGTGGGTCGCCACATGCCTTCCACTTTTCTAGGTGAGAGGCTCCTCAGTCTCCTCCTAGCGGAGCACTGTCAGTTCTCACGCCAAGCAGCCATTCAAAATATGTTGCCTGATGCTGAGTGTCAGCTTGAGGTGGGTGGGCTGTGGCCGCGAGGATGCTCCATCCATATGTGGATTGCTTACAACTCCCTTGCGTGTCCTGTAGAAGTGCCTGGACTGGAGTGATGTCACATTCGGTCTCCTGGCATCTCTACAGTGTGTGCAGGAAAGCTGTACAAGTGGATGCACATATGAATGGAGCTCTGTCACAGCAAAGGCTGAGGATCCACTCCAGTTCTCGTAAGGTAGGACACTTGGTGGATTAAAAAAAAAAAAATTTTTTTTTTTGGAGTGTATACATGTGTGTGTGTGAGAATTTTTGTGAGTGTGTCAAATTGTGTCAGTGGTTGTGTGTCTGTCAGTGTTTTTGAGGGCCCATTCATACTAGTACAGTGCATTAATCGCAGAGTCCCATGCGATTAACGTACTCGTGTGGGAGGTGCAGTGAATTGCCCTTCATTTAAATGACACCCCAAATCCATCTCCCACCCACAGTTCTATCACCCGCATTGGAACGCGCAGTACCACAATGCTGTGCTTTCCATTGCAGTGCAACTTCGGTCACAACTTAATGACCAAGGACAAATGTGGGTCCTGAGGTTACACAGGTTGAGAACAACTACCCTAGACTACTAGAATATGTCATGTGTAGGTAGAGATTTTAGTTGACATGAGACTCCCACCAAATTGTCAGCATGATGTTAAATTGAACTTTAAGACAATATTTTTGATTGTGCTTGAACGTTTTAAATGCAGAGTGCATTATTGTCTAACAACCTCCCAGCATGGAGATGCCAAAGATGCATGAACCGCAATTTGAGGTTTATTCAGGCAAAACAAATGGATATTCCAATAAACCTTTTGGTTGGATCCAAATATTCACAGAAATATTTCACCTATACATTTTCAGAGCAATTAATGATATGCAAAGATGTATTGCTTTAACACCAACATTTAAAGACTGTATATAATGTATCAGACAGTTCACATATATACAAAATCCTAGAACATTGTTTAGCAATGTAATAACAAAGTACATTGTATAACAATGAAAGTGACTTTGCATCAAAGGAGCTCTTTGTGCTCCAAGCGTAGTACTTTGTATCCAATGTAAAGATTAATCTACAATGGGATATACAAGGTTCCATCTGCATATAATGGAATATATGAAGGGAATTAGTCTCCATAATAAGATTCCCATAACAGTCTTACCAGCAAATCATTAGAGACCAGCGATATATGGGCTAAAGGATGGTAAATGCAAGGATCATCAAATAGGCAGGGTTCCTTTTGATATGGGGGATGAATGGATGGAGAGTTCCTAAATCAGGGTTGCAGCCAATTGTGCATTACCATCCCTCTGATCAGAGAGGCTGTGCCAAAGCTCTGACTTTACAGTTGGAGGCAATTGCATGTTTTCTAAGTACCCCAACCCCCATCTCCCTGTGTCTTCTATGTAGTCTCTTTTATAAGTAGAGAAGCTTGCCGCCTTGCACAGGCACTTACCAGATCACTTCAGGGGTGTGGAAATAAAAAAATAAAAAAAACTACTGGTCCAAGGACTAAAGTAGGGGCCCAAACTAGTTTTATCCCTCATGACAATCTAGTTGTCCCTCATGACAAAGGCGGTGACAGTGGGCGGCCGGGGACAGAGGCAGTGTTCGGGGTGTACAGCCTCCCAAGATCACTTGTACAAAACAATTTTTTTTTCTACATTTTGCTCGAAGCAGGGCTAAATGTAGAAAAAAAACTACCTGCCCGAGACTGCATGTCCCGAGCGTCGGGCGATAAGAATTCCACACCCCTGCACCAACTATTTGATCTGTAGTTTGGTATTTGTATGTTGGCTGCCCCAGATTCAGGAACTCCCGATCCCCTCTGGAAAAAAAAAATGTCATCACTTTTAAGTGTTTGAGACATTTTTACTGTTTTTCTTTAGTTAATTAAAAAGAAATATTTGAAAACAGAAAATGTTATATTTGAATTTAGATACTGTATTGTAATGATCTGATCTCTACCAAGACCTTGTTGTGCGTATCAGAGTTAGACACAACAGTTCAGCAGCAGTGTCCTTGGAAATTGTTAGCTGTATGTTCTTTTAGCTGACTGTTTAAAGAATGCCCCATATGGGTTTTCCTCTATCTGCTTATTACAGGTGCTATACAGTCTCAAAAGAAGTTATTTCACAAAATTGTTAGCAAATACAAGCAAAAAAAAGAGAAGCAAAGCACGTCGGATAAAGGTATTTCAACATCTAATATACAGTTTCTTAGGAATTGCTCCGCTATCATATAATCTACAAATCTTGTTGTTGATTTTATTATTCAATACCATTTGATATATTTAGTGATATCTGCTGCTACCATTTGCATAATAATATTCTCCTTTACAACGTGTTTTTTTTTTTTAAAGCTCTGGCACCCCTACCACCATGACATCTTAACTCTTAAAGTGCATGCTCTTTTGCTTGTCAGTATGACCTATAGGGAAACTCTTTGAACTGTGTGAAGGAGCACCATACTCTAACTCTCAGTTGGAAGTTAAGATTTTCACGTATCACATATTTAGGTTAGGGAGTCCCTATGGAACAGAAGCCTTTTGGAATGAAATAAAAGTTTGTGCAGATACTTTCCTGCTATCTTCACTTAATAAAAGAAGTGAACTTATTAATGTTATCTGCCAGTACTGCACTGTTTTTTCTTTGCTATTATAATAGACTGAAATGTTTGCATAAATAGATAGGAGTCTGATGATAATATAGATCGGAGTCTAATGAGAGTGCAAACCACTACAGCATTACTAAGATAGGAGTCAGAGCAGTTTGGTACTTCTGGAATTGTACAGATGTGAGTATCAGAACAGAGTAAGTGAGCTCAAATACAGGTTAATGTTATGCAGTGTTTCTGTTCATTTCTATGGAATCTTATGATTTACTATGCTTTGCCTTATAGCCATAGTAGAAGACATAAACAACAGTGACAATAACCCAAGGAGCAGTTCCAATTCAGTTCCTCACATTCCAGAACCTGCTGCAAGTCACGAACCCCTGGTTGGAAGTCAAAAGAGAAAAGCAAGAAAAACTAAAATTACACATCTTATTAGGTCTTTGGATTGTCAGTCTTCTTCCTCTGTTAAAATTCAAGGTAAGAACATTTTACAAAAATTCAGCCCACAAATCTACTTTTTTGGTTGACTTGAAGAATCTGAACTTAGATGAGAAAGATCCTAATATTTTGTTGAGAATGTGTAACTCCATCGTACAGGCACAGAAGTCACATCATTAGTGGTCCAGAGGGAATCCTTCACACACTCTGCTGGACTTGTCCACATAAGTAAGCTGCGCTAAATGCATGGTCCCTTGTGTGTGCGGAGAGGAAACAGTGCAGATGCACCCATCCCAGTACAGCACACTGTTTCCTTTTTGTTGTTGTTATTGCCACGAGTGCCATTTCATTAAGTTTTGTTGGCACAGTGTGGTGCAATGTAGTCACACTGCATTGTACCATGCTGCAACACAGTTATTTGGAAGTTAGGTGGTTAATAGAACATGTTTGGTTAATCAGAATATATTAGAATAAATTACATTGTGTGGTCATAAAGTCCTGGTCAGATGAAGTTAATGTGATTTATACTGTATGTTTACAAGCACTAATATCCATTGCTAATGCTCTGGCTTTGTTTCTTATTTATAGATGGAAAGATTCCCACAAATAGCTGCAACATGGAGGGAACTTGCCGAGCAGAACTGACAATCACTGGAGAAGCTGGCATTGCACAGAACTGCAGTATTACCCAGGGCATGCCAGCTGTGTCTGCTTTCTTTAGTCTAGCTGCTCTGGCCGAGGTAGCAGCCATGGAAAACGTTCACAGGTTGGACACATCCCCATGCTACTACTTTCCCTCTCTGTTTGTCTTTCCTAGTAGTTCATCATGGGCAGGAATCAGGAAGAGTAGTTACCTTGAGAAACATACATCCTTTTTATGCTGAAACATCAAACTCAAGAGCCTTTCAGAATTTCTTGTTGCAAATGTAAAAGATTTAAAAAGAATCTTTTTATTGACATATTATCCATGCTCTTGAAATACTAAAGACACATGATTTGAAACCTTGCTAAAGGAATAGAAAGTTCACTTTGTGCAGTGAAGCTGTGTTCATTTTAGATACTCAATCCAGTGCACGGGATTTTAAAAAACAAATTGTAACTAAATAATTGAAGTGAATGTAGCTTCACTGAGCTGCAGTGAGCATACTGCTTTGTTAGTTATTCAACCCCAATGTCTTATTGTTACAGATTACTAAAGTTATACAGTGTCATTGAAACAAGAATTTGATTAGTGGCATTTAGTGAGTAAGTGCATAGACAGGTTCTTGGCTATCATTTTTAATTTTGTCTTTCCAGTTACTGGTGACAATTCGACAGCATACTGTACAGTGCAGAAGGCAATACTTGTTTGCATGGTGTTGATCTTCAGTAGACCAGATGAGCATGTCATCACTGATGTAAATGCTAAAGAATCTACCTCACCAGTGTTGGAGTGATGCCTTGCTCATCTGGCCAGCAAATGACCAACAGCGTGGAAACAGATAAGTATTTATTTCTACCCTGTATAGCAATCAACAGAGAAATCAGGGGTGCAACTGTTAAAATTGTGTCACACTTGTGATCCTGTTTCTGGCAACAAATTGCACCCCGGAGTTCTCTTTTGATTACAGAGGAATGTAGGACAGAGTTGTGACCACTTCATACACAACTCTTGACATGCCGGAATGTCAGATAACGTATGAGGAAAGGAAATGTGGAATGAACAACCACTCTTTGCACCTGTAGAATACCTTAACACTTGTGCAATGACTTTGTTAGAGTATGTGAGTTGCTTGTATCTTTGTAATCCATATATGTTGCAGATATGATATGAATAACATTTAAAGAACACCTATCATCAGAGAAACACAGAGGCTGCCATTGCTGGCCTTTTCTGGAAATGCTAGTTGCCCGGCTGTCACTTGGACCCTTTGGCTTTATTACTCTGGCTTGACACAAGTATGTAGATAATGATTTCTGACTTTTCTTCAACCCTACTGATCTGCATAATTTCTCTGGGTTATTGATTCAACAGGTATTAAACCCAGTTGGTTGGCATAATAGACAACTAGTATTTTCAGAAGGTCAGCAATGGCAGCCCATCTATTTCTCTCATGAGATGTTTAATTTAGCCAAAAGAATGACTTTCATGGACTGTACAGCTGGAATCTGTAATCAGTGACTGTAAACAAAATATTATGTAGGGGAGTGAGCTGAAATCCGCAGGTCAACATTTCACCATGCTAGCCCATTCTAATAATCTTATATTTAATATGAAAACTGCAAATCAATAATTCATGGCATTTATTATCTACCCTGCATGAGCCAAAAAACTAATCTGAACAGTTTTGGCTTTCTGAACTCTTGTTGAGATGTTCCTCTGTTTTTTTTTCTATAGGAGTCCTAGGTCCGCTCATTCAAGAGATGGCCAGAAGAAAGAAATGTCCCAGTCAGCTGTGCTCATCTCCTGTGCTGACCAATAAAGCATCACTTTATGATGAGACTTTTTCTCCATATTTAAGCCTTGAGCCTTACTTAGCAAGGCCGAAATGATCTATACAAATGGGCAGAAATAAGTATGGGACCCTGATTTCACTTGAAGCCAGAAGCTGTCCGCTGGGGCTTTGCCCAAAAAGCTTGACTTTTTCTTGGTCTACTAATGGAAAAAAATGGTTTGATACTCACGCCAGCTTTTTACTAAGGCTAACATTGAGATGAAGAGCAAAGGAGGCCATGTGCATAGTGTCTCCTTGTAGAAGCTGTAAGAAGCAGAGCGTGATACTAGTTTCATATTATAGTTATCAAAAAAAATACTGATGCACTGCACTAGTTAATAGCTATTCTTGGTCATTTTTGTAAATGAGGATTTGCGTTCCAAAAATGGTTTATATAATAGTTTATGCTTACATTTATATTAAGACTGAGTTTAAAAGATGTTCCAGGAAGACCTAAACCGTAGGCTCAGGTGTACCATTGTTAGGGTTGTTGTGTGTCTGGTCTGCGACCCCTTGTCTTCTGCACTTCCAGTAACTGTACTGTAGAATACAGGTCCTGCTTCATATTCTAAGCAACATGCCACGTGCCATAAACACAGGCTCTTTCTATGCCACCTAAGGCTTCAATTCAGCTCAAGGAAGAATGTTAAAGCCCTAACTGCCACTAAAATACCAGATATGCATGTTCTACGAGCTCAGTCACAAGCCTTAATAGATATTGATTAGCTCTATCTATGTGGCAACAACTTCTTATCCATAACTTTCTCATCATGATTTTCTTACTTAAAATGAAGACATAGCATTCCTATGTAAACATTGTTGCAGTCACAGGTCATGTCACAGGGCAGAATATTGGGAAATGGTAATTCCTCTTAAATAACTGCATTTTAGAATCCTGGGAAATTTTACATATTAATATATGTATTGCCAATTATTGTTTTACATAAGAGTAATTAGTGCTAATGTTTCCATATAACCGGTGGAAAATGTGCCCTCATATTTGATGGTATTTAGCATTGCAGCATACCTTTTTAGCAGCGGTTTTCCACAGTTAATTTTTCCCATGCTTTAGTTGTTGACTGATGCTTACAGGTCAGGGATAGCTAGTGGCCAGGAAAGTTAAGTATTAACTATGCACCATTGTTGGGATTAGGAAAAGTTTTTATTTTGGGGGGGGATCTTACTTTTTAATGTGCCCCTTAACAATTTTGTTACCTTGTTAGTTGGTTGGTTTTCATATCAAATAATTATGTTCAGTTGTTTAAATTTTACATTAGAAAAGCTGTTCCATAGTCTAATAGCCTTAAGACAACCAACAAAAACCTAATCGGTTCTCCAGCCTACAATATTTGGCACTCAACATGAATGGGTATAAATTATATGAATAGATAAGTAATTTGCTGCTTCTGAGTTAGCCTGGCCACGCACACTATTATTGGTGCCGATATACCCAAACTGGTTCAATGCTGGTGATTTTTCTGAATACTTCCAGCATGACTAAGAGTTATCATATAATTCAGATTAATTAAAAGCATACTTGTGGTTAAGTTACCACATGACCTCTATCTGGCGGATTGTGCAGGTTCCTGTCAGTTGACTTAGCTGAAACCAATAGGATCTGGCTGCTAATTTTGAGCACCAAATAGCTGGAAAAAATAGCCCATAATATTCATGACCGAAACTGTAACAGGTTGCTGGATAGTGCCTGAATATGCATATTCCGATTAACACAAGAAACTTAATTTCAAAAAGCAATAAACCAACTGCTGTATTCTGCAGAGTGCAAGTACCCCAGAAACACATAAAGTCATGTTAATGTACAATAGTAGCACCTTTTTGGGTTACTTTTGCAATTCAACATACAATAGTGACCCAAATTTTGTGTTGTGCACGTAGAAAATATTATAAAATATTTATAAAATTTGATTTTTTATTTGCAATTGGCTATTATCCACTTTATGTGGGGCAGCACAATCTTTTATAAGAGTTTACTAGTTTCAGTGAAGTGTTGCACTGCCCTTTTAGTTTTTACTATGCCCTTTTGAATTATATATATATAGAACTTTATTTTGTTAGAGCAATAAGCAAGTCTGTCTTTATCTGATTACTAAAGAATGATCTTTACATTACGAGGGCAGTAAAATTACCCCTGGTATACTGAGCTTTTGATTATGCCACTTCACTAGTTGAACATAATTAGCTTTATAAAAGCTGTTTTATATGCTCATGTAGGCTTCACTGCACCCAATGTAAAATACTCCAATTTTTCTTGTCCATAGACAGAAAAGACTTGATTTATAAACATGTTAAAGTGGAACTGAACTTAAAAAGTGTAAATTTGTTATGTTATAGAAAAAGAAAATAGAAATGTTAACTGTGCCTAAGTAGTACCCTGAAAGTGTAACTTTTGTCTTGAATTCCTCCTGAAATTAGCAGGGTATGTTCTGATATGTGAGGGTGCCTGGGTACTCCTGTGCCTACAGCCTTATAGCTGTATATCTGCAGTGTATGATCTAAGGCACTGCTGCCTCTGACTACTAGTCCCATATTAGCAGTGAGATTTGATGATGTTACTAGAGTTGCTGCTCACTATTCTCCTTGCTGGAGGCTCTGACATAAGGAGTAAAAAACCTGCCTCGACTATGATGGCCTCCTCCACACAGAGACATTGTAGAACAAGGCATGGTAAGTTAGTAATGGGGTAAACATGAGCTACAGGGAGACCACAGGCAATACTGGTAACTAGCCCTTTGCCCTCTGCCTGCCTTTTTTTAGGTACACCTTCCATAGTTCAGTTCCTCTGACCAAAACCAGTGATTACATTAAACATCCAATCATCTTAAGGAAAATTTCTTCCTTGCATGATTAAAAGTTTGAGATACAGGAACACTTCACCACATATCACACTTTTGTAAACGAGAACCAATGAATGTTGTGCCACTGTAAGATCTTATAGACAAATGTAGGTAAATATAAACCATTTAATTGTTCTCACTGGATGGTTATTTACTTGACAACTAAGCAATATGAAATGTGTAACGTGGTGGAGTCACCCTTTGACTTTGGCACACAAGAGAAAGTTCCAGGGCCAGTCCTCTAACAGAGGGTCAGGAGCCTTATGTTTTTAGCCTAGGGGTCCAGAGAAGAAGATAAAACCTCTGTGTGCACTGCCTGAATATGAATTTAACAGACTCTCAAGACTACCTGCTTGGAATGTTTATGAACTGGCTGATGGTAGCTAGAATGTTTGTAGTTACTTGGCACCTTTCATTGGCCATTCGTGTTAGAGACATTGCCAGACGTTTGGAATTATGTACAAATTCAATGTTACAGAGAAGGAACAGGCGTGTTAGCATAGCTATTAAATTGTAGATGCATTCGACTAGGTCTCTCACTTAACAGATTCCTATATTTAGCCTAAATATTGAAAAGTGTTGTTACTGGTTATACATGTGTAAATATATATTTGTGCAGCCAGTATTCTTCCTGCTGATTAGTAGTGTGGAGACTTTGAGCCTTCTCTTTTTAGAAACAGCTTTGTTTGTGGAAAAGCCGCCATTGAGCGCCAAATCCTAATGAGCTATTTTAAACTCTAGACAACCCCTTGTACTATTTAGCACTTTTTAGCACATTTTGGACCACCATGTCGCTGTTTGACATTTGCGACTTCCTGACTCCTAATTAGCTACAATCCAAAAATCTATTGGTTTACAATTCTTATTTTTTTTCCCCCAGCACCTTAACAATGGTACAAGTGTATTTCTTTCCAGAATTCCCTTTATATATATATTTTTGTCTGACTGCCTCTAAATAACATTTCAAGATTTCTCCTAGATATTTCTGTATGACTATGGTACCTTTGTAAAAGGAAAGAAAAAAAATCCTTATTTTTATGTGAATGATTGAGTTACTAAACCTAAGTGGCTTTCCCTTAGAGTAGTGTAGTGACTGTTTTCTGAAACTTTTGTAGATATTGCTTAATTTTTAAGCTGCTAGGCACTAAAAGTAGCAGAAATCCTGCAAAGCTTTAGTTAGATTTTGAGATATTTGCCATCAATGGCGCTGAGTAAGTGATTTTCAGTAGTTCTATTTGCTAATGCACTGAATCTTTTAGGCAAGGCAATGGTATAATCAGGTAACAAATGATTAGCACAGATTTTCAACATTTCACACAGTGTCCCGCTTTGTGTGTTTGTACATGTCATAAGTCTTTCTCCTTTAACCCAGAGCTGGTCTGAGGCTGTAAGACTTCCATGCAGTGATGATGTGCACCTCTCATGATACCATTAAAGGAGAACTCCAGGCATAACATTCGGCAGTAACAGCCATTTGTCTGTTTCCGTTTCTTGAATGCACCACTTGGGAGAAAAATAATAATGTTCCCTGAAGGTTTGGGATAAAAGCAAGAAACCAATCCTGTTTCAGACAACAGCCTGCTTTCTGAACTGGGTTCCAGACAACATTGACGTTACAGACAGTGCAGCTCCATTCCACAGTAAACTTTCCTCATCAATATTACAAGTGCATGGAACCAAAGTATTATGCAAGTTCATTGGTTATACTTTTCATGTCTGTGGTTCTCCTTTAACGCAGCAAGGCGTCATCTAGTGAACTTTTATCCAAGGATCCGATGTGGCTATCCTTGCTCTGTATCATCTTAAGGGAATTCAAACCTCATATTTTTATTTTACTACTGCAACTAGTTTAAATATCACAGCTCAGCAGTTACTTGAGGACTTTTCATAGTTTCTATAAAAGCTTTAGTAAATATAAAGCTGTTTTTAGAGTTAGATGTGGCACATAATTTTGTTACTTTTCTATGCCCTCAATCGCATTACCCCGCCTTAGGGCTCAGTTATCCATCTTTAAGCAGGGGAGATAGCCCTTACAATTCTGTATCCTTATACTTCCTACAAACATTTGTCAGTGGAGGGCCATCCTACACAACTGGCTGCAGAATGATCTTTCTTACAAAAGATATTTGCATTAGGCAAACTTGAATGGAGGGGGAGTGTAGCAGGTACTGGTCTGTCTCGGAGCAAGTAGAAATAATCAGGTGAAAATCTATTTTGGCTGAGCAACTTGGTGGTGAAAATGCAGCATCTCATGTGACAGTTTTTTTAATGTCTATAAACACCTTAAGGTAAAGATTGCATGGCATCACGTTGGGGGGCTCAATGCCTTGAATGGCTAAGGTCAAAAAATATGGTGGAAAGAAGGCATAGGATGGCACCCACTACACCTGAGTTTGCACATAAACTGTAAAGAGGGATAATGTAAACTCTTTATGCAGTTCATGCGCTCTTCTGCACTAGA